CAGGAAAATCTAAAATTAAATAGCAAATGGCATCCCATCTCAAGTAGGCCTTGAAGGGAAAATATTCTAGCAAGAGTCATGTATTATGATTGGCCTTCAATCCCAAATGTTCCAGATGTTCCCTAGGAACACCTCTGGAGTCCCTGCATGAAAGTATTTCCCCCCTCCAGAAAAAAACTTATATGGTATTCTATATTGTAGGCAGTTCCAAGATCTGTGTTTAAGTTGTTGTTTAAGCCTATGTTTAAGTTGTTTAAGCTGAATTTTAACAATTGCATTTTAAAAACCCAATAAATTGAAAGATAGTAAACTTAAGATCAGTTAACAGCACATAAAACACTCCTTCCCTGAGCCCCCCGCCAAGTTTTTTGTTTTCCTATTTCAAATATTTTTCACTCTTTGACTGACACAAAAAAAACACCTACACACAAAAAAGGAAAAAAAAGGAAACCATCTGTACAGTAAAATGAAAGTAAAAAATATCCCAGTAAAATTCCAAAAGCAATGACGAGCACAGGGCAGCCATTTCTCTTGATTTGCCAGGAACATTAGAAATCACTGCCATTAAATACTAGATTTTAAATAGAAACTGAAGCTAAATTGACAACATCCGTTTAAAAGGCACTTCATCAGACCAAGATGAAAACAATTAAGTTAGCCAGACACGCCATACTGAACACACGTGGCCAGCTCGCAAAACTGTGAGAAGGGCAACGTGGTTCAGCATTTTTTTAGCAGCGGTGAGCTGGGCAGGAGCAGTGAGCCTGCCCCAGCCCACAGCCTGCCCTTCGCGTGGGCCGGGAAGGCCTGGGGGGCTCAGCCCCGGCTGGCACAGGGCTCCATCTCTGCTACTGACTGCAACCGCCTCCTTCACCCCTCCTTCACATATGCGTGGCTCTGCAGAAAGACAACAGAGCAAACAAAAGTCTTAGCTGCATTTTCTTGAGTACTCTTCTCTTCAGCATAAGGGAGGTAAACCCACAAGCTCTTTCAGTAGAAATTCAGTCTGATCCCCCAAAAACACGTTAAGAAATTATTGTATCCTAGATTGAGCATGCTTGGTTCTAGGGAAGTATGGGACATACT